ATATATATATATATTATTCTAAAGCACTAAGATCCAAGAAGAAATATATTCATGAGACTGGATGGCATGGAACCAGAAACATGCATGCAAGCTTGTCATAAAAGAATATGTTCTTTATTATTTGATTACACGTATAATTAAGGCCCACACATGTGCATGGCCTGATATGATCATTCGCACGTGTGCCATGTATGGGATAAGGGGGAACAATGATATGAGAGAGAGAGAGAGAGAGAGAGACTTGAAGCCAAGTTGGACATATAGAGGTCAAAAGGGCAAGGCTGAGTTGAAGCCAGTGAGGCCTCCATAACTCTCACATCTCTCCAATTTCTCTGTGTCTCGGGCTTCCCTATGAGCATTTCCTATCTACAAACATGAAATTGAAGAGAAATAGTCAGAATTTTGTCCAATTTTTTAATATAACATTTAAAATTTGATTATTTATAAAGTTAACTTTATGTCTTTATTCAACAACATCATCAAATTATCACTTAATTATATAAAAAATTATAATCTTTCATTCTTGATATGTTATTAAATTACTAATGATTTTATCGTATCAGATGAAAAATATAAATTTATTTGTTCTAAATTTATATTAATTGAGTGTAAGCCTGGTCAAATATATTGATTTTAAGGTACCTAAATATTAAAATTCATTGCAAAATCATCATTTTTAAAAAATATATATTTTATCAAATTTTAATGATTTGTTTAATCAAAATTTTAGTTTGATGTTGTTATATAAAATATCTAATTTGATGATATTGATGTATTATTTAAAAGAAGGGGGGATTTTACACATACATACGCCTCTTGGTTATTGGTTCATGTTTATTTATATATTTTAATACCTATTAGGAATTTTTTTTATTGTGGGATTTACCATGCCATGGTTCAACCCTTATAGACTACAATATATGGGTGCATGAATTAAATACTATAAAATTTATAGTTAAAAATATGAATAAATATAGAGTGATATACTTGGATATTAAAATTTTTTTAATGTGTTGTAGGGCCAATTTTTTTCCATGATATATTTAAACTTTTAGTTTGTTAAAATATGTAATATTCAATGAAATAAAGTAAAAAATAAGAGAGTAAATGGTCCTTTAAAAATTGTGGAATTGATATTTTTATGGCAAACTCAAAATTAAAAAAATTAGTATCATATAGTCAATTATTCATATACACTATTGAATATGATGATTTTTGTATGGGTAATAGGTTATGTTATTTATGGTATAGTATGGTTTAATATCAAGGTTTAAATATATGGTTTTTAATTCTCTAAATATTTTACTTAATGAATCTAATAGGATAAATAAGATTTTTTAGCAATATTTCTCCTCAAAATTGGAGATTTTAGCCAAATTCTGAATTGGATGGTAAGTTAGTCTCAATCTTGCCTGCCCTATTTTATTTGGATTCGGCTTGGATTTTTTATGGGATAGAAACTACTTTAGTTATGACTTTTTCTGATAGCATGAGGGTGGGGTTTCTCCTGGCTCTTGGGATTCCTTGGACCTATGTTTTCAATGAAAAAAAAAAATTATTAAGAGGATTTATTTGGTTAAATGTAATTAATTTTAAATATAAAAAAAAATGGTAAGTTAATTTTATTTGAGCAATTATGTGGTTTTGGTGTGACTTAATTAATATAAAGTTTGATGAATTTTTGTTTAAAAAAACCTCTCTAAAAGATTAATAATTTTTAATATTGAATTTCTATTATAAAATGGATTCACTATTTATGAGAAATATTTTAGTAGAATGAATATAAGAGTTTAAATATAAAATTAACATAATAATTTAATTATATTGATAATCATTATTACCTCTAAGAAAATGATTCAAAACTTTTGATAATGAGGACAAACATTATTCCAAATTTGGGATAACCATAAAAGCTACTTTTGTACAAAAAGAATACAAATTGAAAAAAATTAGAAAAGAATACATGAATAAATTGGTTCAAATAAAATTTATAATAATAAATTAAATTTAAAGTAGTTTAATATATATTAATTAATTAATTAATTTGGAGTTTACATCTTCATCTTAAATAATTCAATGAGAAAATATATCATTTTGGCACCAAAAATTTTTCAAATTTTGTAGGAATTGCAAAACAAGATAAAAAGATTTTTTTTTAATTTCATAAATTCAATGGTAAAGAATCATTTTCCCCAAAAATTTTTCTGCCACATAAAAAACATTATAATTTTTTTAAAATTTCTTAAATCAAAATCACATAGCTTTGTATTATTCAAATATAATAAACATACCATGCATAGATTTTTTTAAATTCATAATTACCCTTTCCTTTTATTAATTTATTAAGATGAAGACAAATTGGTAGAATCTTGACCTCTCCCGGCAAGAACTAGATATGTGTCCTTCTAAAGTGCACCTATCCATTAATCACATTAAATATTATATTAGAAAAAATAAAACAACAAAAAAGGTATTTACATACATACCATTTTATTTCATACTAAGAAAAAAAATTATTTCATACTATTTACATATCTACATCCAAAATATTAATATTACATTTCTGCCACTCATATGCAACTTTAATATCAAATATGTCAGTCATGTATTTTATTCTTATCTGTCATATCATCTTATAAACTTTAATATTTTATTTCATGCACTCATATTTATTTTATGGTGTTAGACATATAATATTAATATTTTAGATGTTAGATATATAAATAGCATGCAATAAAATGATATAAATGTAAATCCCCCAAAAAAGAAATTTGTTCTGAAATCACCTGCTGGGTTGCAGCCATGGATTCCACAGCCAAATTGAAATCATAGAAGGAACTCGCAGCAGAAAGCTTCATGGAAAGGAACTGCAAGAACAAGTTCAAAAGCTGATGGTCTGATAATCATAGAAAAATACTTGAAGCTTATAATGTTTATTAGATCACATATATATATACAGGTCAACTCACCTCAACCTGATTTTGAAGAGATTGAACATAATTAATTATCTCATCAAGCATAGTAGCCATTCCCATTGTCTATATGTCAGAAACAACAAGAAAGAAAAAGTATTAAATCTATCATTAAATGAAAATTAATCCATACTCTCAACTTAATCAAGAAAATTAAGATCATTAATTAATTATATTCATCCAACATGAGAACTTATTAGGAATGAGAGAGATTGAAGTGCACAATTCTATACTTATATAATAATTTCTCATCAACAGTGGTACCTTATAACAGCCAGGGACAAGATCCTGTAAGCATCTCATCTTCTCATTTATCCTCTCTCTTCTCACCTGGTTATGACCAAATATGAAACAGTCAGTGGAGAGAGAGCAGAGAAGCAGCCCATGCTTTCTCCAATTATACTAAAGTAATGGTGTCAGATACATTGCATGAAGCAAGTAGATTCAACATCAACAAGTGGGTCCCACCCACTACAAGTATAGGTGGGCCCACATATGTTGGTGGGGACACACTTTGTCATTTACTGAAATTATAAGCTTACCCTTTCAGCTAAGCTATGGCTGTCAGTAGCTTGGCCTCTTCTGGCCCTCACATGAACCACCTCCTTTTGTTTCTCTCCATCTTTTGAATTCCTACTGCTCGCACTTTCTTTCAAACACTGAAATCAAAAGAAACGCAAAAGATATTTGAGAAATATACAAATATTATCTACATATTTGATCGAAATGCATAAATAAAATAATGAAGAACAGTCATGTAGCATACTTGCTTCCTTCTTTTAGACCTGTCTTCTCTTCATTTGTGGCTTCTGTTCTTAGCAGTTTCAGCTTCTGATACAGATTTCGGGGCATTTCTTCGAAGGGGGGAAAGCTTGGAAGATCATGAGCAAAAGGCAAGTTGAGCTCTTCTGGTTGGACGTCTGAGAGAAGACTGTCAGCATTAGCAAGTACTGATATGAAGTCTAGGCTTGTATTTTCCATGGCGCCATTCTCACTGAGCTCTGCAAAATCCATTTCTGCGAAGGAGAGGGAAGGCTTAAGACTATTTATAAAGCCAGACATGGTTGATCGATCAGGAGGGAATAAAAGGCTTATGGAAGCTGAGAAGAGAGTAGTAGAGAAGAAGGGAAGAGGAGAGAAAGCTGTGGAAGAGTTTATGTACAAAATAAATGTGATGAGCTGTGCAATTCTATTTGATATCATGAGAGGATGGGCGTATCAATTATGTGGATGGGTTCGTGTGGTGGGTCCTTGATAAAATATATGCCCATTGGTATTCGATTTTATGCTTTTGAATTGTTTTTTGGTAAGATTAGACTCAAATAGTAAAATGGGGGACTGATCATATGGTGGGCTCTTATAGTGGAGGGTTAATTATGATAAATATGTCATTGAAATGGAGAGAAGGAAGGCCGTGCATGAGCTTGTTTTGTAACATTTGTATCTTGGTTTATACCTTATTTATTAGCAGGGATATAGACATATTAAGGCCTTGTGGTCCTAAGCCATTGAATGTTTGAATTTTTCACTCCAAATTTATTGGCATATCCTTTTTTTTTTTCCATATGATCAACAAAGCTAATTTTTGTTGCAACAAACAATCTTAGAACAAATTAAAAGAAGCTAAATCAATTATAAATTTTTGTCTTTGGAGTTATTTCATAGATCAAACGAGCTTCAAATGTGATAAATTTTAAAAAATATTTATCGTGGTGAAGATTATAATGACACCGGATGGATGAATTCAAGCATTATAATTGTGTATATAATATGTGCGAGGGAAGCCGGTGCATGCAGGACAACAACCATCATCACCACATCAAATAATATGAGGGCCATCTAAACTACCCCATCTACATCTTCTATTTTTACACAATCATTCTTGTATGTTGATCATTCCAAAGCACCACCATTTTAGCACAGTTTGTTGATAATATTGATACTTCCATGAAGTTCTTATGACGTTCACTAGCTCCTATTTCATGGGAATGTTTTGTTTGCATCAAAAAAAATATTCTTGATAAGAAAGATTTTGGATGCACAAGGTGGTTTATCATGGCCATTTTTTGGGCGGCCTTAAATTTGATCTTGAACCTTCTCGATCATACTCATTTTTACTTACTTCAAAAACAAAAATTTTATTCTAATAACTCGATTATACATATGTGATTTTGAGATCTATAGGACAGTACTGTACGTATTTTGTTCATTTATTGAATACATTATTGCTATTGGTCACAATTAGACCATCACCATATTATCATATCATTTTCTAGTTAGCCATAAGGCTCGATCCTAACCCAAGAAGATCGGTCGAGCTAAGCCACTTTTGATTGGGAGAAGATGTAATTTGGACTATCTATTAACGATAAGAATAAACATTAATACTTCAATATAGTTATAAATAAGGAATGTATAACTAGCTCAACATCTATAAATAAATGTTAACTCTTCTCATTTGGACATCCTAAATTTTAGGATTGCTGAGGATTTTAGAGCTCTAATCACTACATCACATTCTAGTTGGGAATTATATTCTTCTTGGATCCTCCATTTTTTGATCTTATATACCCCTTCATTCCTAGGGAGAATATCTTACTTCACTGCTTCTTTAGGTATAAATTGTAATTTTATGAATTTTCATACCCGATTAGCTATGTGACAGTAAACTATCAAAGTAATAACAGTTATAAGAGGTGGCTAACAAAATAAGCTCTAGTGACTAATCCAATGCAGCACCCCACTAAATTATCTTCTGACTTTGAAAAGCTAATGCCAGGAAGAAAATCTTTTAGCTAGCTACCACCTTCAAAGCTTCTAGCTAGTCACTTATAAGTTAATCAAAACTAACGCATCATAGATTTTTTTTGGTCATCTTCCTGGTATTGAAACTCATTCACCCACCTTAAACTCAAACTCCTTGACCCCCTTTATTGATGTCTCTAATCCATCATCCTAATACATTGTCCTCCTCATTAAATTGAGCTCCTTGAAAGCTTAGATTACTTGATAATTAATCCTCCTCAATCACCCTTATGAATCACTTCAGGTTCTATAACAACCCAAAGATATGAAAAAGCATTTTAAATGAAAAATATGGATTTTTTGAATTGCTACTTGAACTAGAGTGCTTTGATGTTTTACATGCAAGCATTGCGGCACTAGGATTGAGAGCATTGCGGCGTCAAAAATTGTCGTCGTGACACTGGTGTATTTGATCTACTGTAAATTTGACTTTTGCATGCAACACTGGACTCAGCATTGCAGTGTTAGGCCACAAATAGTATTTTTTAAATATGTTTTATTATACCGCCCCCTCACTCTCTCACTTCGCATGCTTGGCGGGGAAGGAAAGGAGAAGAAAATGGAGAGAGAAGAGGGAATATGAGAGAGAAAGGACTTCATGTAATTTTTCTCTACTATTCCTATTATGGATATTATTTTATTCATTGCAAGTAACTACCATCTTACTTCGATCTATTTTTGATTATTTTGTTTTCTACATATTTATCTCTCCTAAATTTTTTCAAAAATATATTATCTCCTAATTTTATAAACTTTCACCACGTAACTTTTGATAAGTTATATATTTGATCATTTTGAATGATTTAATATAATTGTTTGCATTTTCACTAGTTAAATTTGTTGATAGGAATTTCTCTGTGAAATGTTTGTGAAAATGTGTACTAAAATTGAAGTAAAAAATGATGTGATTGGTAAGATGTACTAAAATGTATGATGTGTTGAAATTATTGACATATGTTGGAATATAATATTAGTTTAAATGAGAAAAGGAAAAGATGTATTGTATTGATATACTTATATTGATCTGATATAAAAAGAGGTACATACTAATTGATATCTGATATATGAAATGATAACTATATTATGATAAAACAATATAACAATTCTAGAGTAACAATTCCAAAGCAATAATTCCAAAGAAATGATTCTATAGTAACAAATTCAGAGCACTGACTGGGAGTCATAAGGAGCTGGAGATTGATTGAGAGTCATATGTGCAGGAGAATGATACCCTCATA